ATTTGGACCTTTTTTTTTGTTTTTTGGTCTTTTTTGAGACAGGGCCTCTCTGTAGCCCCAGCTGGCCTGGGCGCTATGTAGACCAGGCTAGCCTTGAACTCACAGAAATCTGCCTGCCTCTGCCTCCCGAGTGCTGGGATTAAAGGCATGTACCACCAGGTCCGGTTTACTACTTTTTATTTTATGTATATGAATGTATTATCTGCATGTGTGTTATGTGTATCCATGTCCTGTAAAGTCCCAGAGGTCAGATGAGGGCGCTGGATTCCCCTGGAAGTGGAGTTACAGTCAGCTATCATGTGGGTGCTGGGAATCGAACCAGGTCCTCTGCAAGAATTGCGAGTGCTCTTAACCACTGAGTCATCTCTCCAGCCCCAATTTTTTTGTTTTTAAAGACAGGATCTCTTTCAGCCCAGGCTGATCTTAACCTACTTAGTAGCAGAGGTTGGCCTTAATCTTCTGGTTCATTCTCCTGTCTCCACTTCCAGAATCCTGGAATTAAAGATAGACACCACTCATGACTACACTGGAGGGGCAGACGGGAGACTGAGAAACCGTGGCCATGCCAGTAATCCCTGAACCTCAGAGATGGAAGAAGCGCAATCAGGAGTTCATGGTCATCTTTAATTATCCAGGGAGTTTTACCCTGCCTCACAACTTTTCCTTAACCACAACAAAAATAAAGTAAAAAAGTAGGGCCTGGATTGGTGGCACACGCTTTTAATCCCAGCACTCTCGGTGGCAGAGAGAGGAGGGGGAGAACGGGGGAACCCGGCGAGACTGGGGTAAAGGCCCTTGCAGCCAAGTTTTAGGATCCTAAATTCGATTCCCAGGACCCATACAAAGGAAAGAACAGACTCCAGCAAGCTGTCCTCTAGCCTCCACATGCCTCCACATGCGTGTGGGCCACCAGGCTTCCCCCTCCCACCCCCTGTCCGGTGAAAAAAAATGTAATTAAAAAAAAAAAAATCCCAGGGCAGAGAGTCAACCCCAGCCCCCGAAGCCTGCCTCGTCTCAAGCCCAGCCTGCTTCTGGCTACGCTCACACCATAAACCCCGCCCCCAAGAACCGCCCACACCAAACCTTGCCCGTCACGACCCCGCCCACCACACGCTCCGCCCCCGCCCGCCCCCTACGAGGTGCCTTCCATTCTGGCTCCGCCCCTTGCCAGCTCCACCACCCAGGAGCTCTAGACTCAGCAGGCCCCGCCCCCATCCCCGCCCCCGCGCAGTGCGGCTGCGCCGGCGTCTCAGGCGCTGAGGCCCGGGCGCCCGGGCTCTTTTGTTTCCCTGCCCAGATCCGAGACGCACTTGTAGTCCGTGCCAAGTCGAGTCGAAGGAATCGGAGCCACAGCGAACTCGGAGCCTAGGCCGGAGTTGAAGTGGGTTCCGACTGTCAGCGCCGCGAGGGCGCCCCAGGGGACACCGAAGGAGCGCGCCGCTCG